TGTGTGTGTGTGTGTGTTTACAAATGTTTCTTTAATAAAACAACTATAGAATAGCAAATGTACACAACACAACATATGTATTTATACAGTTTGATAGTTTATGTCAGCTTAAATTTACAAAAGTTTTTGCTGTAAACTACAATAATTTTAACATCAGTAAAAACAAACAAAAAAATACAAATTATTTCAGCTCACACAGAATTATTTAATAAATGTATTTTTATCACAAAGTATTATTCTTCAGCTTCATAATAATGACAGCTGGCACACATTTTGTTCTCCCTTTTTCTCTGGAAATGTTAAAAAACACAAATGTAGACAATATAAAATCTGAATAAACAGGCCTGTCTGACAATGTGACTATTTATGTTTATGATGTTCAATCATCCATTCCTCTGTCATTAGTGAGTCTACGTCATAATTTCTGAATTATTATGCAGTCTAACTAGTCAACAATCCTATGAAGTCCATATTTTACATGTTTATTATCAGTAAATAACATATTTGACAACAGATAAAATCGATTTTAAATAAGGTTAAACATGAACATCAAAGCTGTTTAATGTCAGCGTACAGGTTTTATGATTAAAATACTTAAATTTGGTTAAATATGCGTAATATTTACCTGTGAAACAAAACCCTTTTTGCTCTTGTAAACATGTAACAATCTATGTAATTTATTGCAAAGTATTTGTACCATTTGTACATTTATAAAGCGTTTGTTTGCACCGCGCTACGTTCTGCTCATTGATTTCAATGGTTAGCGTTAGCATTAGCTCAATGCATAAAAATTCTCCTTGCAAAGCACGCCCAGGTCACATGACGCCCAATCCAGTGATATATATGAATGTTTACAACTTCAACAAACTTTTATTCTGAAATTGTTTTAACAAACCACTTCCTGTCTTGTAGAGAGACCTTCGAGGTTACTTTAAAAAACCCAGACACCAGATGCAGCTGCTCACAGATTTAAAGACTCGTTTCCCCAAAACGTCGTATTTTAGAGACGAGCAGAAGGTGAGGATAAAAATCATCTCTGCAGGTTTTAGGGTCTAAATGTGGCTCAGGAGATCCTGATCCTCCGTGGTTCTGCCTCGCAGGAAGTGATGGCTCAGGCCTATGAGGTCATCGCTCACGTCTACCTGAAACGTCTGATCAGGACCAGCCGGTGGAAGCTGAAGCTCTGGAGTTCRGCTGTTGGTCCGAAGGTCAGCTCGGACACCGAGGAGCTCCAGGGAACCATCTTAGACCTGGTGGGTTCTAACGTTCCTGTCCACCTTCGGTTTCATGGTTCTGACCCATCTGAAGGTTCTGACCCGGGTTTGTTTTCAGGCTCCGGGTGTTCAGCTGGGTAAAGTGATGCTGCTCAGCGTTCCAGAGGTTCTGAAGAACAAAGACATCGACACGCTGAAGCTCATCCTCGCCGGTTCTCAGAAGGACTGCGGCAGGAGCAGGTACTTCAGCTGTCAACACGCCGAACTTTAGCTCTTTTTGTTTCAGTGTTTTAATGTGGCGCCGTGGCTCGGTCTCTGTCTGCAGCAAAGACCTGGATCTGATCCCGGACCTGCTGCGATGGAAGGGTCTCTCCAGGTCACAGGTCACGGAGGTCCTGGAGGCCTTTCCCGAAGATCTCAGACCCAGAACCGGATACAGGTGGTCCTTCGGCTGCTGCTGCTGCTGATGTGAYCCAGAGACAACACCATTTCTGTTTAGACCCGGCGGGTCGGTGCAGCAGAACCGTTTTACAAAACTGACACTTTTCTTTTTTGTTTGATTTTTTTTGCTTCAAGCTAACTGTTGCTAATTTTAGTTAGCATTTTGACTTTTAGCTACCCATTTATTTCTTTTGGCTTTTAGCTACTGTTTTKCTATTTTAGGTACTTTATAAAAGCTACTATTTTTCTTTTGTTTTTAACTAGCCGCTAAGTTCTTTTGTGTTTAGCTTGTTTTTTTTCCCGCCTTTTTAACATTTGAGCATTGGCTAGTTTTAGCTAGCTTTTTAATACTTTCCATTTTTAGCTACCATTTTGTTACATTTAGCTTTTAAGCCATTCTTGTGCCTTTTTTTGCCTTTTAGCTTCAAAATTTTTTTAATCTTTGGCTTTTAGCTAGCTGCTAACTTATTTTGGGTCAAATGTTTGTTTTTATTTCATTTAAGCTTTTTTGTATTTGGTAGTTTAAGGTGGCTTTTTAATACTTTTGACTTTCAGCAGCTCTTTTGTTTATTTTAGTTAGCATATGCTACTTTTAGCTTTTGGCTAAATGAAAATCATGCTGTATAAAAATGTACATA